CTCAAGACTGTCTTCTTAACCACTGTTTGTTTAAATAAATAGGAATGTGTCTACATTTAGCATAAGAGACAAAGAAAAATTGGAAAATATAAGTTGTATTTCTGTAAAATAATACTAGGACTGGAATTTCTGTCCCTAAAACTGAAATTACTTACATAGCATAAAATAAAAGCTATAACTATTGGTAAAAGGATTTGAGTTTACATTAAGTGATAAAATAATAAAAAGTCTATTATTATTTAAAATAACAAGTTAGACTTTTAAGAAATGGACTGCTAACAAAATTTTTATATTAAGATTTTTTAAATATAGAAATATAACTAATGGAGAATTTCATATACTTAGCTACTAATTACAAATTGTAGGCTGGGGGTTATATTTACTTGAATTAAATTATGGGCAAGAAAGAAAACCAAAATATTACCTGGGACAGCAAACCAAGGTGCTGGTTGAGTTAGGCTCATACCAACAAACAAAAAATGTTGAAGAAATTGGAACTTACAATTAAAATGATGTTGGCAAAAGAAAACTGCCATTTATCATGGATGGGATATATAACTACTGACTTTAAAGCAATATGTGGCCTCAAAAGAAACAAGTTAACCAAGTTTGTTGGTCATTTAAAAAATTTTGTTCCAGTGTAGTCAGTCTTGATTAACTTTAACCCATCTAAGAGGAACCCTTAATTAACTTTGTTTTTTTTTCTCAAAAAGCTGGAAAAAAACATGAGTCAGCATACAAAAAATAAGCTTATAACAAAACTTTACTTTAAAAACTTCCAGTAAGAACTTTCAGAGAATATTTTCACATTTGCACCTATTCAGAAAACAACTTTCCAACCTACTAGTCTCTTTACCATACAATTTTATATATGCCCTAAATATGTAAACTTTTAAAAAATCTGTCTTATTTAATATAACCTACTTCCTAAGGCAACAAAGTAAACCAATCTTCAATATGAAAAAAAAAATGAATATCAAGAATTCTATTATTTGCAGTTAATGAGAACACTGAATTAATCTGGAATAATCCATTTACAGAACATTTCCATTTATTAAATTTCAGCTTTAATAACAGAATTTTAGTTTAATAACTAAACAGAGTTTCAGTTTAATAACTGTTAACTCTGAGACAGGTGCCAAGAGGAACAACAAAAGGTGATTTAGACAGTGGACACTTAACCTGGGTGTCCACAACCTCTGGCCCTGAACACATTAATTAGAGGACCTCAGGATACCGTCAAGAGTATTGCTGAAATGATGGATCATGGAATCCAAAGGGAATAAGGCCCTTGGGACATGGATTGGGAATGAGTAAAGGAATCAAAAAGCTGTAGGACTCAATTCACATCCAATGCTCATGGTGGGGCCTGCAAGTGGAGGTAGGAAAGGTGTGATCTGAGTGGGCCTGTTTGACTGAGGGGTTTGGGAAGTGGAACAATTGGAGGTGAGGATAAGATCAAAATGGTAAATACAAATCATACGTACCTCAGGAAACTGGGAAGAGTGAAGAATGATGAATGAGAAAACTTCAAAACCACCTCATATTAATCTGTTCTTGAGATACTTAAGCGCTTACTTCGGTTTACACCAGCCTCCTAACATAAAGAAGGGCATATGTACACATCCATGCATCCAGAGCAATAAGGGATAGCCAGCTTGGCAGTTTTCCAGGCTTTAACCTAGAAAAGTTGCTAAATCATTGTTGGAACACTAATCATTGGACATGTAAGGGTGTTAAGGATTTCTTAGCAACTGTAACACCTCTCAGGAGGCAGGGCAGTGGGAAGAGGTTTTCCCAGCCTCCTCTCCCCTGAGAGGATATATGCTGGTAATCTATTATCAGCTGGTAAACAGTCAGCAATCTATTGATACTTCCAGAGGGAGTTAGATCAATTTAACTACATTTTGCTGAAGGAGGCATCCAAGTTTGGGGCCAGGATTTCTTCAGAAAAAATAAAGGAAAGGATGAATGTGCCCATAAACTCTGATCCCTTCTGGTGTTTAAAATTGTTAGTTTTAAGGTTCACCAAAAAGACAGGATGAGATGGTTGGAATGACATCACCGATTCAATGGACATTAATCTGAGCAAACTCTGGGAGTTTTTCCTGTAGTGAAGGACAGGGAAGCCTGACGCGCTGCAGTCCATGGGGTCACAAAGTGTCAGACAGGGCTGACTGACTCAACAACAACAACAACAATGAAAAATCTGATGCTGGCTCCCATCTTCAGCCCTGCCAACATTTGTTTTATACCAACAATGTTCCTGGATTGTGTTGTCTCCCTCTAGGTCATTCTCTCTGAAAAATACTTAAATTGAGTTCCCAGTGAAAATCAGATATTCACTAATGTCCTAGTGAATGATATGAGAAGGCCCAGCTCATGAAGGCTCTGGAGAAGGTGAGAAATGTGGGATTACTCTGGGAGTCATTTCTGCCATCTCTTAGGATAGAGAATGTAAACTTCCCAGGGAGCACTTCATCAACAATCTTCAAAGCCAGCAAACTGAAGCAGACTATGGTAGGAAAAAAAGACTTTTGCTTTTAATCCTCTCGTCCTTCTTAGTTCTTAATGAGGAATAGATGGCATCACCCTTCAGACTAATGTGAGATCACCATTTTAACTTCTTTTCCAAGTTTGGGTTTTCCTGATCTACAACTTTTGTTTAAATTTTGTTTTTCCACCTTTGACTTCCTCTACATTTCTGTAATTTTTTTTTTTAAGGTCAGACTACCTGTATATGACTCCTATCTAATCATCTTACCACATCCGTGTTTAAGCAACAAAGTCTAAAGCATACTGTTTGTCTAAGTTGTGTCATAAAAATATATCTCTGTTTTCTCTTGGGGCAGCTGTGATTATTATGGAGAAATTTGAGCTTGGAGTAAAAAGTACAGGCTTGAATCTCAGTTTCTATTACTACCATTGGCATGAGTGTGGGACATTTTGTAACTTGTTTTAGACTCCGTTTTATACTTTGGCCACCTGATGCAAAGAGCTGACTCATTTGAAAAAACCCTGGTGCTGGGAAAGATTGAGGGCAGGAGGAGAAGGGGACGACAGAGGATGAGATGGTTGGATGGCATCACTGACTCAATGGACATGCTGGGAGTTGGTGATGGACGGGGAGGCCTGGCGTGCTGCGGTTCATGGGGTCGCAAAGAGTCAGACATGACTGAGTGACTGAACTGAACTGATCACTTGGAAAAGAAAAGTGGCAAAATATTCTTGACAGCCATTGAAGAAGTTAGCGATTCAAAAATATCCATGACTTAGAAATGTTCCTTAAATTATTTTCATTTAATACAGACAATGAAGAGAAAAAAAACTTACTTTACTCATTTTATGTGATATTAATCACACTGTGTGCATGTAATATCTAGAGTCTCTTATCCAGTAATAGAGATTGAGATGATATGGGTCTTGTATAATCAGTCAGCAAACTCTTCTGGAGAAAATAAATACTTAATGAACCTAGAACAGGGAGGATGGTCCACCTTGCAATGCAAGGGTCACCAGTTCGATTCCTGCTCCGGGAAGTTCCCACATGTGAGCAACAGCCCATGCACCACAACTATTAAGTCAGCACTCTAGAGCCCAGAAGCTGTAACTACTGAGCCCAGTGCTGCAACTACTGAAACCTGTGTGCCCTAGAGCCTGTGCTCCACAACAAAAGAAGCCACTGCAATGAGAAGCCTGTACACCACAAGTAGAGAAACCTGTGTGCAGCAATGAAGAAGACCCACCACAGTCAAAAATTAAAATCAAATATATCTTAAAAAAAAAAAAAGAGGGAGAATGATATGGCTTGAGAGAGGGATTTGCCAATAGGACTTTTGGGGAAAAGATTAAATGTATGGGAACTTAAGCAGATTTGTTTGCAGGAAAAGAGTAGTAATGATAGAGAGAGAGAGAGAGAGAGAGAGAGAGAGAGAAAGACAGAGTCAAAGAAGTGATCGGGGAGCTAGAGAAGATACAGTTGGTAGAGGGCCTTTCTACACTTGATCTTAGCCAAAAGGCCGAGAAGCGATTGGTAGAGGGCCTTTCGAGGTGTGTTTCTGACCTAGAGAGAGGCAATGAACCTGCTGTTGGTGAAGCTCCTGCCAAGCTCTTCCCAGGGAACACCATCTGGGCTAAGCCGTCGGATAACTACGATGGATGATGCTAGCCACTGGCCCAGCACAAGTGCTGACAAATGCCAGTCATTCCCTGTGTTAGACCACACAAGATAGCAGGAGTACTGTCAATTGTTTTTTTTTTTTTCCAAAAGGGAGAAACCGAAGTCTGGGAAGCCTCCCACTCCAATGAAGCTGCGGAAATGTTTTTAAAGAAGAGTGTGCAACTTGTGTCTTCAGCTATTTCTTGCACATAGAAAATATTATCTTTTACTGGTGATTAAGTTTGCTACTAGCAAAACATCTATAAAGTACATGTCATGGAAAGATGTGGAATAATCTGCACTGACACTAATGAAAAGGTTTCCTTTCTCCCAGAGTATCTGCCTTCACTCAGCATTTCTCTGTAGGCAAGGTGCCCCCTGGCAAATGTTCTTCCATAGCCAAAGCATGCTACAGTGCCAAGCTATCTGCCAAGCCTACTACCTTTTCTTTGTCTTACCTCTCTCTTTTTCTTTCTCTTCCTCCTTCCCTCCCTCCCTCCTTCTCTCTCTCCCTTCTTCCCTTTTCCTTACAAATTATTCAGTCTTGCAATTTTGCACTTTACTGCTGCAGATGTGGCTCTAGTGAGAGACAGAGAAGTCTGACTCCGGGTTTATAACACTTTGGTCCTTTTGAATTAAACCTTTTTTGGATACTCAGTTTGATCTATTGATATATCTCCACTTTAACTGATGCCTTTTGTTTCTGCAGAGAAACAAAACAAATAGGAGATATTTCATTTTATCTAGAGATTTATTATGACAAACCAACTCACTCAATTTTGGAGGCTAAAAAGTCTCAAGATTTGCCATCTGCAAGCTGGAGACCCAGAAAAGCCAGGGATATGGTTCCAGTCCAAATCTGAAGGCTTGAGAAGTGGGGGAGCTGGCAGTTTTAAGTCTCAGTCCTGGAACAGGAGAAAACAAACACTGAGGTCACACCTTAAGCAGGAAGGCAGAGAGGCAAATTCTCCCTTCCTCTGACTTTTATTTTATTTAAACCCTCAATAGATTGGGTGGTACCAACCCATAGTAGAGAGGGCCATTCACTTTACTCAGTCTACTGATTCAAATGCTCATCTCATCTGGAGACACCCTCACAGATACACCTCAAAACATTTAGCTGAATATCTGGACACCCAATGGCCCAATCAAGTTGACACATAAAATTAATCTTCACACTTTCCTAGTTCTGGGTCAGTCCCATACAAATCCTGCATCCTGACTTGGCTCCTGAAATTCCAACCCAACATATTTGTAGTAAGTTCTCCCATTTTCCTGGGTCCAGAATTTAAAGGACACTGAAGGTGTTGTCTGACCCAGGTACAATTCACTGGGGCTGTTAAAACCATTCATTTCAGATAGAAACTTGCACTAAGATTCCAGGACTCCAACCCAGTCAAAACTGACTGTCTTCCAACTGAGATCACAAACGCAGTTTCAGGACTTAATGAAGCTCAAGTTCTTGACATCTCATTGCAAAAAATTTAGTGAAAGACAAAGTGATAAGTAAGAAGTCGATTTATTTAGAGAAAACACACTCCATAGACAGAGTGTGGGTCACCAGAGAGGGTGAGTGCAGCCTCAAAATATAGTGTGGTAGCTTTTATGGACTGGGTAATTCTATAGACTAGGGTGACTGAGGATGAGATGGTTGGATAGCATCACTGACTCAATGGACTGAGTTTGAGCAAACTCCAGGAGATAGTGAAGGAAAGGGAAGCCTAGCATGCTGCAGTCCATGGGGTCACAAAGAGTTATACATGACTTAGAAATTGAACAACAGCAACAATGAGTAGGAGGTAAAAGTGTTAATTGCTCAGTTGTGCCCTATTCTTTGTGGCCCTATGAACCGTAGCCTGCCATGGATCTCTGTTCATGGGATTCTCCAGGCAAGAATACTGGAGTGGGTAGCCATTCCCTTCTCCAGGGGATCTCCCTGACTCAGGGATGGAACCCAGGTCTCCTACATTGCTGGCAGATACAGCATGAGCCACAGACAGCTCTATAATGAATGGGAGGACTATTCCAAATATTTTGGGAAGGGGCAGAGAGTTCCAGAAATCGAGCCACCACCCACTTTTTGATCTATGATGGTTGGCCTAGAATCCCATGGAAAGAGGAGCCTGGTGGGCTGTAGTCCACAGGGTGGCAAAGAGTTGGACACAACTGAGTACGCACGCACTTGGAACTGTCTTGGCACACCTCAGTGTGTCTTTAGCTTGCTGATTCATCACAGCGAGCCTACAGTGAGGATCAAGGTCTAGTCAAAGTTGACTTGTCGGCCATCTTGGACCCATGTGATTCTAATGTTTATGTTGTGTCCTTGGGCTACGTCATTCTTTCAAAGGGTGTGCCCTGCCCCCTTCCCTCCTGTTTCACTACCACTTCTATTTTGTGAACACACTCCAAATTAACTATAAATTTGTTAATTTTGAGCAATAAGATTATACCATTGACTCATATTAAATTTGTGGTTACATAAACATCCAAATTTCTTTTCGCCAGTATAAGCATTGTACATAATTTTTAAGAAAATGATAATTTATAGAACTATTGTGACAAGGAATATTAATGAATATTTAACTGAACTTATTTAATGCTATCATTCCATTTTATTAGTCTATAAACCTCAGTGAACTAAGATCATACTTTGTTATTGATGGAGCCTTGGTTAAAATCTAGTTTTCTAATTTAATATGCTCTATGGACTATGTACCAGACTTTGAAACTTGCTTCCACTTTCTCTCTCAGTGTCTGTGTTAGGGAGAGGTACCAGTTTCCATAAGAAGCATTCTGGAATAGTGGTTACAGCCATGAGATGTGGAGTCAAATCAAATAGATATCAACCTTGCCATTTGCTGGTTGTATGATGCTGGTTATCCCAGGTAACTTAGCTGATTTAGTGGGTTTTTTTTTTTTTTTTTACTATAACATAATAATACATCTAATATGATTTATACAGAGATCAATTGAAATAAAGTACAACACCTAATATACAGGGAATAATACAATGTTAGCCATTATTATATGCATCATATCAAAGTTTGGTAAACATTTCAACTACAAACTCATCTAGTTCTATTGAATAAGATAAAACAAGGCGCCCATGGTTATTGTAGGTGTTGTTCAGTCGCTAAGTCGTGTCTGATTCTGTGACCCCATGAAATGCAGCATGCCAGGCTTCTCTCTCCATCACTGTCTCCCTGAGCTTACTCAAAGTCATGTTCATTGTGTCAGTGATGCCATCTAACCACCTCATCCTCTGTCATCCCTTTCTCCTCTTGCCCTCAAGTTTTTCCATCACTAGGATCTTTTCCAATGAGTCAACTCTTCGTATCAGGTGGCCAAAGTATTGGAGCTTCAGTTTCAGCATCAGAATATTCAGAGTTGATTTTCTTTAGGATTGATTGGTTTGATCATCTTGCTGTCCAAGTGACTCTCGAGAGTCTTCTCCAACACCACAGTTCAAAAGCATCAGTTCTTCGGTCCTGTCTTCTTTATGGTCCAACTCTCACATCCATACATGACTACTGGGAAAACCATAGCTGTGACTAGATGGATCTTTGCCAGCAAAGTAATGTCTCTGCTTTTTAATACACTGTCTAGGTTTGTCATAGCTATTCTTCCAAGGAGCAGGCATGTTTTTATTTCATGGCTGCAGTCACCATTCACAATGATTTTGGGGCCCAAGGATATAATCTGTCCCTGTTTCCATTGTTTCCCATAATATTCGCCATGAAGTGATAGGACTAGAAGCCAACATCTTAGTTTTTTGAACATTGAGTTTTAAGCCAGTCTTTTCATTCTCCTCTTCCACTTTCATCAAGAGGTTCTTTAGTTCCTCTTCACTTTCATTAAAGTGGTATCATCTATATATCAGAGGTTGTTATTTCTCCTGGCAGTCTTAACTCCAGCTTGTGATTATAGTTTTCAGTAAAACATTCCTTTCTGTTTAACACAGAAGGACCAATATGACTATACCAAGCTATCATAATTCACAAAATCTTTTTCATAATTATACCATTTAGCTGTTTTATCAATCCATGTGTAGGTGGGCTCAGTTGTGTTGGACTCTTGGAGATGCCATGGACTGTAACCTGCCAGACACCTCTGTCCATGGGATTTTCCAGGCAAGAATACTGGAGTGGGTTGCCATACCCTTCACCCAGGGGTCTTCCTGACCCAGGGATGGAACCCACATCTGCTGTACTGCAGGCAGATTCTTTACTGCTGAGCCACCAGGGAAGGCCCTTACCAAGCTATATACTTCATAATAATCACATATGGAGGAAATTCTTATTATAGAATTAAACTTTCCTAGGCTTTACTTAGGGCTTTCCTGGTAGTAAAGAATCTGCCTGCGATATAGGAGACCTGGGTTCGATCCCTGTGTCAGGAAGATCTCCTAGAGAAGGAAATGGCAACCCATGCCAGTATTCTTGCCTGGGAAATCACATGGACAGAGGAGTCTGGCAGGTTACAGTCTATGGCATCTCAAAGAGCCAGATGTGACTGAGCAACTAACACTTTCACTTCCAGGCTTTATATATAAAACAGTATAGTATGTTGTAATTTGTTAAAAACCATTTTACTGAGGTATGACTGACATACAGAAAGGTGTACATATTCAATGGACACAAACAGATGAGTCTGGAGATTTCTGTTTCTTGTCTTTTGCAGCATTTGGCTAATGTTCCTAAAACAAATGCCTAGGAAAATATAGAAAGTTTATGCCCTTTCACTGCAGATGTTGAAAAATAGAATCAGGCAATGTACTTTTAAGGACTTTGAAAAAATATGTGGATATACATTCTTTTTTTTTTTTTTTTCATTTAATAATTCACTGCTTTTAAGCACCAGTGCACTCTAGGTACTATTCTAATCACTGGAAACAGAAGTAAATGAAACAAAGTCCCTGCCCTCATGGAGTATATACTCCCACAGAGGCACAGCAATAAACAAATCAGTCAACAAAGCAATAAAAACACAATATAATGATACATGCTATAAGGAACAGTGAAGAAAGGTGAGGGGAGTATCATGTCTTGGTAGGATCTTTGTTTAGGATGGTAAGGAAAGACATCTCATGTAAAGTGATATTTGAGTAGAGAATTGAAAAAGAAGTAATGGTTTGAGACACACAAATAATTTGAAAAAAAAAAAAGCATACTGGTCAGATGGAAGAAAAGATGCAAAGGCCTTGAGGTAGGCGTATGCTTGCTGTGTTTGACATACAAGAGGTCTTTCTAGGTAATAGTACAGAAAGCCAGAGAAAAAGAAGCAAAAGATTAACTTCAAAGTCCATGCGTCAGTGGATGGGATTGTAGCAACAGCTCATGTAAGGTCTTGGAGGTCCAAGTAAAGGCTTGGTCACTTGCTCTTTTTGAATGGTTTTGAGTCAAGAAGGGACATGATTTGATTTATGTGTTAAAAGAATAACTCTAATTGTTGAAATATCTCTCAGTGTTGAAAAGTAAACTGAAACAGGGAGATCAGTTAGAAGGCCTTTGCCACAGTCTAGGTGTGTGATGATGGTGGCTATCAGTGGAGATCTTTGAGAAGTGACTGGATTCTGATATATTTATTCTGGATGTTATGTGGAGCAACTGACTGATTTAGAAGACTAGTTAAATCAGAGAAAGCAAATCTACCAGGTGTTAGGCAATCATATGAAACCTCCAATGGGAAACTTCTGAAATTACTTTATTATTGAATTTTAACTCAATAGCATGCAATTTGATGAACGTATAATTAAGTGCAAGACCACTGACTATTTAAGCAGACACAGAGCTAGTCAAAAGCAGAACAGCAGGGGGACACGGCAGAAACATATACGCACCAATTTATACAAACTACTGTTACTCTAGAGCCCACATTCATAGTGTTTTCAATGTAGAGACACATC